TGATGGAGGGAAGGACAGAGGGAGGGAGGGACACAGAGAGACAGACACACACAAACACAGAGAGACAGAGAGACAGACAGACAGACAGATAGACAGACAGACAGACAACACACACACACACACACACACACACACAGAGAGAGAGAGAGAGAGAGAGAGAGAGAGAGAGAGAGAGAGAGAGAGAATATGATAACCAAAGCCAGTACCAAGTTGTTAGGTTCAAGTAAAGCCCCAAGCACTCCAAAAGGACAGAACTACTGACTTTCTGACTTTGTCCAAGATGATGGCTTGGTTTGAGTTGGGGCCAGACTCTGGCAGGACAAACAGGAATGCTTGCAGATACTTCAGTCATTTCTCAGGAACCTGTGAAAGGAGATTATCTGCATAAGGAAGAGCCACTTCTCTATCCCTTCTTCCTCTGGCAGATGAGGAATCTGGCTTTCTATTGACATATACCTGTGGTGCATACCAAAACCAGTGCTAACCTCCAGGCTCCTCTTGTCCCCAGAGATGTAATATTGAATTCCTGGTACCCTAAATTTCACTGGATTTTCAGCTCACTCCTGCAGCTGTTGGTGTTGCTTTATAACCCAGGAGACTTCTCTGCTTCAGCACTTGTCTTTGCTCCCCAGAGAGACATCCATGGGCATTCAGAGTCCTCTCTGTCCCAGGGACTTAATAATGGGTTTTACTCTTAAAATGCCTCCATCTATCTGTTTTCTCTTTCATATATGTAATATATAACCTCTTCCTACCCAGGGATACGCCAGTTAGGTGGCTTCCCTGCACCCTTGCTTACACAAGTGATTTTGTGTTTTATTATATCTGAATTTAGAGATTTCTGCCAAACTAGGAATCACATATCCAATATGAAGTAATTTCTTACTTATCCTCACCTTCCAAACAGTAGCTGCTAGAGTATCTCCAACCACCTCCCATTAGAATGCTGATAAATTGACATTCTGTTTATTATTCCCTAATTGCTGTTGACTTTTGTCTATTCCTGAAGTCTTCTTAAGTCTCTCCAAGCTCATGTCATGCATTAGTGAAGACCCAGCAAATTCAATGCACTGGCTTAAGGAATATAGATTAGCTTGGTCATTGTGGAGAGGAAACAGACTTAGTCTGTATCTTCGATATGAGTCCCACTCTGTTACACCTCAGATCAAATTTTCTTGTTCCTTTTTACGATCATACAATTTTGGCTACTTCTTCTGCTAACTCCAAAGACAGGAGAATAAAAGACCACTAACCCAAATCACCATCATCAAATTAATTAAAGCAAATAATTAGATAAACCAAGCATTTTTTAAAATCATGTACAAGATGCAGTTTGAGAGGTCAGAATTGGATGTGAGAAAAACAAGACTTTACAGCTCAAGGGTAGAAAGTTTAAAAATGGAGGATTTGATGGGCAAAATAGGCAGGGTTATAGGAGCAAATCAAACATGTTAGTCCTAGCAGCCTCTTGAAACAAAGACATGGTTGCAAGGTGGCCAAAACAAGGTAGTCAGTGGTGGTCATATTACCTTTTGAAAGATAGGTGGAGTTGCAATATGGTTATAAATAACTTTTTGAAACAAATGCATAATTACCATTCCTGGAACAGGCAGTGCAGAACCATTTGGAGTTAAGGTTACAGGTGAGGCATAGCCCAATACTTGAGAAACAGAGGTTTAATCATAAACAAGAATGGAACTACTTTGTCTTTTTTATAAAATGACTTTTAAGCCTAAGATAGAGACAGGCTGGTTCTTCACTTCCCTGCTCTTACAATCTTGTCAGTGACATTAATACTCTATTACTTCATAAACTCTTATTTTTCATTTGGAAGGATTATTCTTCAGTTCTTAACTTCAAAGTTTTTCACAGATGACTGCTTGATTCTCCACAAGTCAGTCCTCTCTCTCAATCTCTCTCTCTCTCTCTCTCTGTGTGTGCCCACACATGGGTATGTTGAACTTATTGCCTATATAAGTGTTTTATCTTGAATAAAAATGTAACTGATTGACTTATAACGTTAATGATTTCATGGGTCAGAAATGGGGGCATACAAAACCTCAAAGGTTAAGTTCATTTAAAATAACGTGACACAATTTTGAGGACAGGGCTTTTGGCCTTTCTATAAATAAAATGACTTACTCTATATATACTCTTCCTTGAGGCCATGAGCTCAGCTAGGGATTTTATGTATGCAGATTTTCCTGTGGGCAGATTGATTTATTTGTGTCTTCAGCCCAGATGTTTCCTTGCTCTGTATTGTGATGGTCAATTGCCTCCTCCACATGTTTACTGACGTGTTTTAAATGGTGGTTCAAAAAATCAGCCTACCGAATAGTGATATCATAATCCCATTTTCCAGTGGGTCTGACTGTCTAATTCAGTAAAACCCATCTTCAAAATGACTTTCATCAATAATCAGATCTGAATTCAAATGTTGCCTCATTTTTTTAAAGTAAACTATTATTTTTTTTAACTTCTAATTACATCATCAGTTTGACCGTATATTCCCCTCTACCCCTAATCATTCTATAACCCCCTCAACTGGACCACTCAGTTAACCTCATAAAATTGTTTCTACTTATATTTTAGTCATTTAACTTTTCCAGAAGCTTCTGCATTTAGTGTCAAAAATAGTTAAAACACAGTCTCTGACTTGATTATCTTCTTGACTGTTTTAGCAACTCTTAGTTGTAACCGTGCAACAACAACAACAAACAAAACCATCAGACAGGTTAACATAATTCTCTTACGTCTTATGTGTACCCACATTTTATATTCTTCCCTTTGAATTTAGGTGAAGACCTTCAAGTTACTTGAATGAGTTGTATTTCCTCTGACCACCAGGCTTCCTCCTGTAATCCCTTCCTTGTCCCCTACCCAACGAAGGCATGTAGGTCTATCCTGCCACTCCTGCCCAGGCCTTGCCTTTCAGATCTAGTGACTTGGGGAAGCCCCTTCATGTTTCCTGTTAATGAATTTTGAATAACAGTACATTACTCTTATTCAGTTTCTGACTTCATAAGGTTTTGTGAGAGCTGAGATTGTGTTTCTAAGGCATCTATCATAGGAAGTAGAACAGAAAATGCTCACTAAATGTTAATGCCCTTTTCGGAGAATAGCCAGGTGGCTAGGCTACATTTAATAAATGCTCTTCCTAGTTTTTTCTAAAGCAAGTATTCAAAACTATTCCCAAATTCTTGACATAGGTAATGGTAAAAAGATTTCACTTCCTTGCATCATGGAAGGATATTCATTGGCTTCTTGCTTCTCTGTGGATCTCCCCCCCCCATTAGTAGGTCTCTTGAAATTGGAGTATTTTAAGAATTTATGTCCTCCTTTTTCTGTAAATTTGATATTTTTGTCTCAATCTGTTTTTTCTACCTTTATATGTTACAATGGCTATTCCTCAATGAGTTCTAGCTTAGGAATAAGATCCTAGATTTTATAAAAGTAATATATAAAAAGCAATTATCCATGACCCAGAAAATTCAGTTACATGGCTTTTCATGAGATAACATTGAATATTTCTTCCCTTTTCCTCATCCTTCTTTGGCTCTCTAATTTGGACATAACAGAGACAAGTACCATGAATAAATTTTATGGCAAAAGCAAAGTTATTTATGTGTTTGAAAATACGTAACATTCACAGTTGTGACAATGGTCAATTACACAGAGTAAAGTATACAAACAGAAAGTATTTAAACAAGTAGTTTTAATACAGTTTTACAATTATAAAACTTGGTATTTTATAGAAATAACTTGGCTTAAGAGCATTTGTAGTTACAATTGGAGAGATCATGCAATCATTAAAACAAATTTATCCTTCTTACTTGAAAATTGCTTTTCCTTTCTCTTCCCAATGTCCTTGATGCTTATTTGCTAGGTAAGCCAGTTCTGTCTGTCTTGATAGTTAATTAAAGAGGATCATTGTTGTAGATTAGCCACAGGGTTGGTTATGTGCTGTAATTAATACTATGCTGTTCACTGAGCTATTTTTCCACCTGTTCAGAATTCTTCCAAACCTCTAAAGTAAAAATATTTTCTCCTTTCCACTTTAGTGATTAGCTTTCCTCCCTTCCATCATGTTTCTCCATCTAAAGTTGAAAAGGAATTTTTACCAGTTCAGTTTTTCCTTCTTCTTTTCTTTCTGATGCTAATAAGTATTTAATTTGCATATCTGACTACTTACTCCTTACTTAAAATAGAATCCGTCACAAAAATGACATCCATTGTGCCAGAACTGATTTTAAAATTTCTATCATGGAGGTTTCTTCTTTTATTGTCTAACTGAAGGATTTTGACGGTGACCGGGAGCAGAGCAAAGGCATCATTGTCTGTGTAGTTTCTCGAACCTGTTAGTGTGATAAATGTAGATTACATCATTTAGCATTGCTCCCATTCTATCATACAACTCAGAGTAAAAATGTGAATCTGGTATTGCCTTGGAGTTCCAACATTCATTTAAGGTTTCCACATCTATGGGACAAAAGGCTGCATGTAGAATTTTGTATATAAGCACAGAAAACTGTCACAGCTGCTGGCATTTGTGGGCATTACAACACTATATAAAGTGTCTGGCTTCACAGTAGGAAGTTTACACTCCTGGACACAGATGAGATGTGAGTTGTGGAAAGGTCATGGAAGTTGAGTTGTGAGAAGTGCTGTTATTTTGAAATATAAATATTCTGTCATATTTGTGTCAGTTAGTGCAGATATTCATGACCTAGCCTTATAACCAAATGACCTTCAGAGCCGACTATCGCTGTTTTAGGTATTTGTTATATTAAAAAGATTTCAGTTTTCCAAGGTACCCTATCAGGGTACAAATAGATAGCATCTTCATTTTCTTTAGTAAAATGCTCTGGAAAACTCTGTTTATAGCACTTGTAAAATTCAGACTTTTCAGGAGAACAAGAATGATATCTAAGAGAAGAAATACCAAGCTAAACAACAAAGGGAAAAAGAAGTAAGAGAAGTCCCTCTTGAGCAGAGCATTTGTTCAAGCAAAACTAAGCTTCTGCTGCCTGAAGAAACTAGCAGGCCTGAAGGGTCCCTCAGCATATAATTAAATACATAAATAAGACAAACAACAAAAAACCAAACCCTGAGAATTTTAAATACTTCTGAAGTATCAGTTCCAGATTGTCAATTATACAATTTTTCTTTATTATTAAATTATATCATGTCCTAAATAGAGTGAAATTCTAACCCCAGTGTCATTCTTCATTCTTTTTGAGTTATTAAAAGCACAATTCTTCACAGGTATGCACAGCATTACCACCCAGAACAGTGTAACTACACGGGTATGTACAACATTACTACCGAGGAAAATTTAGTCTGTCTTTGCATAATTTCTTTAC